GCGCCCTCCGGCCCTCCGGCGGGTGCCCAGCTCGCAGCCTGTCCCGGCGCAGCTGCCCTGACACCCCGCGGGGGCCCTGACACCCCGCAGGGGCCGCCTGAAACCCTTCTGGGTCCAGCCATCCAGACCCAGGCGTCCTTGCCACGCCCCACCCTCTGGGAGCCACTTCACCCCACTCCGGGACCATCTGTCCCCATCGGGAAATGCCCGGGCACCCTTGGAGAGCCGTGTCTGGATAACCTCTCCCCCAGAGCTGCTGCTGCACCCCCGAGAGGGCCCATGAGAGCAGAGGTGAGGGGCCAGCACACACCCTCCACCGAATTTGGCCCCGGGTGGCCACGCCCGCCCCCGTCTCCTCCAGACACTGACCGCCCCTCCGCTCCCCAGATCAGCCTCCAGACACTGACCGCCCCTCCGCTCCCCAGATCAGCCGGCTGCGGGTCCCGCCTTTAAGCCCCCTCATTTCGCCCGGATGAGGGCATGAGGGGGGGAGGGCGGTGCCCCTGTGGGGAGTGGGTGCCCGAGCGGCCCCCAGAGCCCCCATCCAGACTCCCCAGGCACACAGGAGCCCCGGGACGCCCAGGCAGGACAGAGGAGGGCAGCAGAGCTGGCCACGTCCTGGGCCACAGCTGCCCTCCTGCCCCTCCCGGCCAACAGGACAGAGCACTTGGCCTGATGCTGGGCCGGAGCCCTGCACCCCAGCCCACGGCCTGCAGCACCCCAGGCGGCTGGGGGCGGAGGTGGGCGGCAGGGGCATAGAGGGCACATCCGTGGGGTGGGGGGGGCTGTGGTCTCTGCCCGTGGGGGGCCACGCCCACCTGAGTGGGGCCGCAGCGGGCCAGAGCCCAGGCTTCATGCCGGAGGTCACCCCCCTTCATGTGCAGCAAACCCCAGAAACGGCGGCAAATCGTCTCTCCAAAGCAGGCCTGTCCACGGCCAGGCCCCTCTCCTGCGGCCAGGGGGTCTATGCCCAGCGCTGGACCTCAGGGTCAGGATGCCCCCGCCTCCCCCCGCCCCAGGTGTGGTCCAGTGGGCGCCTTGGCCTGAGCCCCTCTGGACTCCCAGGCCCTGAGGCCGCTGGACCTGCACCTGAAAGCGGCCCTGGGGCTGCACCCCAGGCCTGGTGCGCCCCACTGCCCTCCAGCCAGCCCACCGTGCCAGCAGGGGCCGGGCCAGGAGGCTCTGGGGGCGCCCCACCCTGTAGCCCGGCCCCACTATCGATGGCGGGGCGCCCTCTGGGCTCGCACCTGCCCAGACGTCACTGCCGGGGGGCTGCCCAGAACCTCTGCTCCCCCGAGACAGTGACCCCGTGGCCACACCAGGGCTCCTGGGGCGTCCAGCCAGCCGGGCGGCCCTGCCTAGGCCCCACTGACCGCTGCGCCTCACTCCGGCCCGTCGGGGCCGAGCTGCACCCTGGGGGACCCTGGGGGCGGCCGTGCTGGTGCCAGCCCAGGCTCCTGTGCGGTCAGGGGACCCCCACCAGGGGAGGGTCCCACGAGGGGGGCGCCACCCGGCCTCCCTCGCCGCTCACCTCCGCCGTGGCTCTGGCACAGGTAGGGGAAGCGCCACACGTTGCCCAGGCCCACGCAGAAGCCCACGCAGGTCAGCATGTACTGGGCCTTGTTGTCCCATTTGGGCCGGGAGCTGGCCTCCGCCTGCTCGAGGTCCTCCAGCTGGTCCAGGGAGGGTATCCGGTCCTCCAGGCCCGGGTTGGGGAGCTGCAGCCTCACCATGGTGGCCTGGGACTCGCGCGGGCAGGGAGCGAGGGCGAGTGCGGGGCCGGCACTTTATAGGGAACCTTTGGCACCTCGCCCGCCCCAGCATCTGGCCGAAAGGAGGCGTCAGCAGATCCCGGCTGTTAATGCCTTATCTGCCCGCCGGCCTCCGGCCCCGCCCCTGTGCAAACCCAGGCCCAGCGGCCAGGTGAGGCCTGGCCGCCGCCA